ACACACACACACACACACACACACACACACACACACACACACACACGTACACTCACATCTTGCAACTCAGGAGTCAGGGAAATGAGGGAGATGGTTAACCTTGCCTTTTCACTCAGATGAAGACACACCCAAAGACTCAAGCTGTTTACTCTGACCCTTACCTGAATTTCTGGTAGGACTGAGAGAGGTACTCGTTAATGATGCTTAAGTGGGCATTATCGCCCAGAAACATCTTGTTGGAAGCCGCGTGCTGGAGCATCTTTGCAATGGAGCCCAGATTTCTGCGCTGGTCTGTGGTGAGCTGGCCCCCTGCCGACAGGTCTATGATGTCGAAGGCGTCAGGAGCAACAATGGCTGGATTCATATACCGGTAGTAAAGCAAGTTACCAATAATCTGAAATAGAGGCATGAGCATTCATTAACGACCAGACCACGGAGAAAGCCACACGTGACTTTGCTCGCAATGAAGATGAGAAAGTGTTGTCCTGTGAGGAAGGTAAACAAAAAGCACACACCGACCACCATGCATCCATGCACATATACTTCCCTTCAAGACCTAAAACTCAAAATACTCCGGGGGATGTGTGTAGGGGGGATAAGAGAAATGAAACTGGTACCAGAGATGAATAAAGGAACAGATTTAGGACATATAAATAGCATTTAAGGTGTGTGATCCGACACTCCAGTACACCTTCTGTTCCTGTGTTACAGCTGCAGCTCAGGCTGATGTCAACAACCGTTGTGGGTTTTATAGATAGGTTTGTGGGAAGCCATGGATCACGGTGAAAGTAAGTCCTTAAGATGACCTAGTTAGCACAGTGCCACCTGTCTGACCCCCACCGCCAACATGCCACAGACTGCAAAGGCCACGTTCATGCTTCTGAAATGAGATTCACTCAACACACATGTCTTCCACAGGAGAACGCAAGGACAAGCATGGCATCTCCCCTAGAGTTCCAGAAAAAAAGTAAAATTAATTCACCTGGACAGAAAGTCTAGAACCGAGGCCTCAGTGTAGGAAAGCACAGAACTAGGAGAGAGAAGAGAGAAGCGTTCAGATTTAAAAGGTAAAAATACAAGTAGAAGGGGAGTGTAGCCGAGTGAGAAGAGTAAGCAGGGAAGCCTCAGCAGAGCGCTGCGCCCGCGCTGCTATTCACCTGGCCACCAGGAGAGGGAGCACTGCTCCAGAGAAAAGAGGACTCAGGAAAAACGTCCCACTTCCCATACTTAGTGTACACCATGTGCCTTTAAAGATGAATAGAAACTATCTGCTTAGAAGGGCCCTCGCCTTCTAGTTACAACTGCTTTGGAGGCTCACAGTCGAGGATACTCAGGCACTTCCTGCTGGTCTATGTCACTGGGCATCTGACAGCAGAAGGGCAGGAACCCGCCAGTTTGCAGATTCCTACCTTCAGCAGCTCGTCCTCACCGGCATCAGGGAACTTCTCATGCAGCGAGTCCTTCAGCACTTTAGCAATGAAACGCATCCCATAACTGTGGGACAGACAAAACAGAGCGTGGTCAGGCCACAGAGTATGCCACCAACCAGGCTTTATTGGGGGGTCACAAGCGATGGCACTCACGGGATTTTGTCCACAGAGCTGACAATGGCTGACAGGAACTTGTCTGTCACAGCCCTCATGTTCCTGATGGAGTTGTCTAGCCTTGTCTTCACTTCTTCATGAGACAAGGCTTGTTCAGGGGTCACATCATAGGGCAGTTTGCTGAGAAAACAGAAATGACCTCAGCAATGTTAGACCAACCTCCAGGAATAGTTCGAGGCAGGAACTTGTCTTTTATAAATAGAGAGACCCAGAAAGCTTAGCTAACTTAGGCTCCTGTGCATAAGCTGTAAACTGGATGCCTCTGTATTATGTGTCACACTCTAATAAGCACTTAGCAACAAAACATATGGAAGCCATCGTATCTTCTCCTGAGCCTCTCACAGCAGCAGAGGCATAGGAGCAGGTCATCATAAACATACTATGTGGGCTAGAGGTTAGCTCAGTGATACAGCACTTGCTTGGCACACCCATGACCCCAGGTTAACCCTCAGCAATGAAGAAACACAATGCTTACAAACAGTAAACTGATCAGAACCGCTGCAGGCCACAGCAGGAGCCTCTATTTAGACTGGAGAAAGAAAGGAAGGCTCATGATCCCAAGGACAGACATCACAGCCCAAGAACGCAGAGGTTAAGGGTCTTCTGGTGTAGGTGGGGTGGGGCGTTACATACAAAGACCAGAAGGAAGACAAACAGGAGTGAAAAAGATAACAGGGATCAGGCCCTGCAGGATCCTATAGACACTAAGTTTGGACTTGCTTAGAAGCCAGAAGTAGCCACTGAAAGTTAAAAGTTCTGCAGCACTGAAATGCAAAGGCAGGCGAAGGTGTCACTATGCAAGCCTGGAGACCTGAGTGTCACACCCAGAACCCACAGAAAGGTGGACAGAGAGAATCAACTCCACAGAGTTCTCTGACCTCCAAGGGCTTCCTTATCCCCCTAACACAGACACAAACACACACAAAGACATACACATTTTAAGGAGAAAGACTGCCCAGGCTCACCATAAAAGATAAATTAAAGACGGACAGACAGACACTGCTGAGAGATGTGGGAAAGCAGTGTCCCAGCTTGACCCAGAGACGATGAGTATGAACAAAGACGAAGGTGCAACAGTGCAGACCAGGAAGACTCACAGCCACTGAAGACACAGCTCAGCCAGTGATGTGGCAGCTTTGGATATGGGGTAGACAGTCAGACACAGGAACTGAGGCACTGGGCTAGTCAGACAAGGCTGGGGGTATAGGCCAGTCGACAGACTATCTGTCTAGCACACACTGAGCCCTGGGTTCAATCCCCACCAGCACATAAATCAGGCTCTACAGCTCATGCTTGGGAGGGGGAGGGGGAAGGAGCGGGAGTTCAAAGTCATCTTCAGCTACATAGGTATTTATTTAAAGCCAGCCTGGAATACAGAAAGACCTGTGGGTGGGGGGGGGGGGAGCGGGGGAGAGAGAGAGAGAGAGAGAGAGAGAGAGAGAGAGAGAGAGAGAGAGAGAGAGAGAGAGACTGAGATTGGCATAAGAATGGCAGATGTGCTAGCTACAACATGGGCCTACACTTAACAGGCAGATAATAAAGACAAGAAGCAAGAAGACAGAGAGAAAGGCAGGGAGAAGGCTTCTGGTATCTTCAAGGTTAAAAAAGGAGGGATGATCACCGTAGATTATCTAAGCACTCCCTAAATATAAACCAGGTGACCTACTAAGAGGGACAGAGGGAGAGTTAGGGTACAGGAGAGCAGAGGCAGCCAGGGAGGCGGAGATTACAATACATGGCCACAAGCCAACCAGAGCCAAAGGCCACCAGAAACTGAAGAAGCTTAGGAACAGATAGATGTTCCTTGCTGGCATCTTGATTGAGCCCAGAGATTTCTACGTCAAGAATCTTGATAGATTAAATTTCACCTGTTTCAGCCACCCGTGTGTGTGGCGAGTTGGTTACGGTCACCATGATAAGCTGAGATAAGCAGTCAGGGGCATGACTGTCATAGCATGCTGAATGAGATCCAAGATGGCATTTGTAATTTACAATAAAGGACTGTGTTGGGAGGTTAAGTGGAAGAGAAAGGCTGGGGACCCATGATGCTTATATGCAGGGTGGCTTCACACACCCTATAGGTACTGGTACTAAAGAAGCATTCAATTTCCATTTTATGAAAATCAGGAAACACTCGTTTCCTACACACACCAGCAAGAAAAAAAATACTGAACTGGCCAGTAGAGCTCTGATTTGTAAAATGACTGACTGACTCATTGGTCATCTAAGGAAATAACTTAGTGACCCTGAGCAGTGTTCATGGAGCTGCTATCTAAGAATGGCCTGGGGGACAGGCCAAACTTCCCAGACAGACAAAGGTGGAGTGAGTGGAGGCAGGTGGTAGAGCTAAGCTGTGGGGTTCAATTCCAAGCACAAGAAGACAAGAAAAAGGTTTTCATGATGTCCAGAAATGATCAGAATCCCAGTGACAGATTTATAGAACTCTAAAATCAATGGCGTGCCTTAACGCCACAGAACACTTTGTGACTCACCTACAGTGACACATTTTTTTGGTTTGGTTTGGCTGAGATAGGTCTCACTCTGCAGCTAACTCTGAGTATTTGCCTCATCCTCCACAGTGCAGGCTTTACACGCATGCGCCACCATGCCAGGCTTACAGGCCAAATGGCAAATGGTGTGAAAAGCTGCCTGACCAGGCACCAGTGAGCTTCCTGCCATCTAACCCGCCCCAGTTGGAAACCAGAGACTGAGCTGAGCATATCTTGTCCGGGGTCCTCACCCACCTGAGTAGAAGCAAAAGCAGCAGCAGGACTCTCTGCACTTTCCTTTCCCAGCTTTACCCAGATCTCACTGACAGGCTTTGCTGTCTGTCTGTCTGTCTGTCTGTGGTGGACAGCGTTTACTCTGGCAGACTCATCTCCCATCACTAATGCACTCATTTGGCTAAGTTCTCCCCAGGCACAGATCACCAGTCACCCCACGCCCTTTCCTCCTGATCCCAAATGTAAGGCCCTTCCCATTCAACTGCTAGGGTTACAGCCGGGTCTTTTCAGGTGCTAGGCTCTCCGTGGCAGGGAGTTCAATCATGCACACTCTGCACCTGGCACTTACTTCCTCTAGGTCCAGCTAAAAGAAGTCCCACCTCAAGCAGATGGCTCTCCCTAACTGCCTGCCAGCATTAGTGCTTGCTCTAGTAAATACCTTACAAAAGGTTTTAAAAACCTTTCCTTGGGTGTAATTTTTATTTACCTGTTTGTTGTCTCTATCCCAATAAGCTATGAAGGGGTAAGGTGGTAAGTCTATTTCATTCACTATTATAGTTGTTGTTATTGTTATTGTTATTGTTATTGTTGTTGTTATTATTATTATTATTATTATTATTATTATTATTATTATTGGGGGATGTGTATGGCACAAAGCACATGTGGAGTTGGTGCTCTCCATGTTTACATGGACTCTGGAGATGAAATTCAGCTCTCCAGAATCACACAGGAAGAGCTTTACCTGCTGAGCTATGTTCTCCAGGGCTCATTCCCTGTTATGTTTTATCTTACATGTATCTAACAGTGCTAATATATAGCAAACACTCAGTAGGTATTTGCTAAACAGGTGAATTATCAACTTAACAATCTACAGCATAGTTCTCAAAGGAAAAATGTAGTGCATGTGTGTGTGTGTATGTGTGTGTGTGTGTGTGTGTTCTCTTAGTAGTCTATGCTGGCCCAAAACTCACTATGTAGCTAAGACTGACTTTTCTGCCTCTAGACCCCAAGTGCTGAGGTTACAAACATGTGCCACTATGTCTGGCAGGAAATGTTATTTGAAAAAACATTACTTTGTAAATCAAAAGTAACTCCCTTTAAAAAAAAGATATAGAACACAGCAAGCACAGAAAAGAAAGGGGCTATGATCACCATACCTCGCCTCTCCAGTCTGAGACTCCATCTGATTAACCCAAGACTTATAAATATCCACAGGGTCCGTTTTGATGTTGAGAGACTTGTCATCCATAATTTCCTTCACAACAGGGGCCAAGATCTGCCTGAGGGCATTCTGGCCCCGGGCACCACGGTTGAAACTTACAACCATCTTAATAACCGTAGGGTTTCCTGTCACGATTTCTTGAATCTGATCCACCTTTGACCTATGAGATGCCAAACACAAATTAAGTTTAAACTAATCTCAGAATCTATCGACCTATCGATTTTCTTATGGAAACAGGCTAAGTCTTCCTCTGGAAGCATTTCCCAGCATTCACAGAACCTTCTGGTAGCTGCTCACTGAGGTGCAGGAGTCATGGCTGGACCTTCACATCAGGACCAGTACCGTCAAATAATTTCCCCAACATAAAGCCTCTGTATGTTGCTGAGGCTGGCCTCAAACTCCTAATCCTGCCTCTGCCACTGTCTTCCGACAATATTTTTTGTGTTTTGTTTGGGACAGAGTCTGTGATTTTCTTGCCTCGGCCTCCTGAATGCTGGGATTACAGGTGGAGCCACCGTACTGGCCCACTCTTTCTTTCTTTTAAAAATTATGTATAGTCATTTATCTAGAATGTATGTGAGGGTCAGAGACTGAGTCAGTTCTTTCTACCATGTGGTCTGTCTGCAGACACAGGTCATCTATGATGACCTGTCTGAACTCAGGTCATCAGGCTTGGTAGCAAGCACTTTTTTCCCACTGAGCCATCTTGCCAGGCCCTCCTGGCTCTCTCTCAAGAGTCACTCCTAACTGTAATAACTATGCTACCATAATAACTGCTGAGACTTAGCTACTGTATAGTTTAGTTCAGTTGCGGGATTAAAAGGTCTTTCGTGACTCTCGATGAAACCTAGACAGGGATGGACAGGTGACCACACTAGACACAGTAATGCTTTGTGTGGTGGTGTGAATATGCTTGGCCTAGGGAGTGGCACTATTAGGAGGTGTGGCCTTGTTGGAGGAAGTGTATCACTGTGGGGGTGGACTTTGAGACCCTCCTAGCTGCCTATGAGCTGGTCTTCTGTTTGCCTTCAGAACAAGATGTAGAACTCGCATCAGAACTTGCAACTCCTCCAACACCATGTCAGCCTGGATGCTGCCATACTTCCCGCCATGATGATAATGGACTGAACCTCAGAACCAGTAAGCCAGCCCCAATTAAATGTTGTTCTTTATAAGGGTTGCCTTGGTCATGGTGTCTCTTCACAGCAATAAAACCCTAAGACACTTTGGAAGGCCTCGGGTGTAAAGACCTGTTCTGGGCATTAATTCTGATCAACCTCCTGCCAAACCTCTAGAATGCTGGGATTTCAGGAATGCACAGGTATGCTAGGCAGTTAACAACACTTTATACTAGCTATTTTTAAAGTACATGCTTTTAAAAACGGCATTTCTCGCAAACTGAGATCAAGGAAAGACAAAGGATGTCCAAGTCTAAACTACGAGCATCTCTAGTGACCTGCCCAGCCGCCCACCCCATCCTTACTTGATCTCCTCCTGGAGTGCCGTCTGGAAGAGACGCAGCAGCAGGTACTCTTCCCGCTGGTTGGATGCGTAGTTGTACAGCGTGAAGATCACTGAGTCCATGAACTTGGTGGACTTGTTCTGTGGCATCTGAAAGATCAGCTTGGCCAGATAGGTAGGGTTGGTCTGAAATAAAACCAACAAACACATCAGAAACTTCTAGATAAAGGCTGATTTGTCTTTTCATTCATGCTTTTCTTAAATATTAATTCTGAAAGTATAATTTTATTATTTCTCCATTCCACTTCTTCCCACAATGCCTCCTAAATACCCACCCTTGCTCTCTCAAACACATGGCCTCTTTTTCTTTAATTGTTGACATATAAATATATAATTACAACCTGTTCACTCTGTATAATGTTACTCGTGTGTATGTTTTCAGGCTGACCATTTGGTACTGGATAACCAGTTGGTGTGCTCTTCCCCGGGGAAGACTATCTCCCTGGCTCTCAGCATTTCTAGTGGCCTGTAGCTCTTTGTCTAGGGTCGAGGCCTCCTGAACTTACCCCTTCCAAGCTTATGCTTTGTAAAACTTCAAGGATTGTAATATACAGAAGGAAAACAAGACAGCCCCCCATAAATCCCCCAGTGGAAACCAGGGAAGACTCCTAGAGAGATCTGTGGGATGGTTTCCCCGAGGTTGTGGCCTGGGGGCGCCACTTGCCTGCAGCAGGTAGAAGAGGTGTTGATAGGCCTCCAGCTTCTCCCTCTTCTCCTTGCTCAGAGCCTTGAGCCCGCCTTTCTGCTTGTTTATCATCATCATGTCCGACAGCTGTTCCTTATTTTTTTTGGTAAGTTTTTTACTGTGGGAAACCACATCCTAGAAACAAAACCCAACACACTGATCAAGGGGCTGGCGGAGCAGAGATCGCAGGCATAGCAGAGATCGCTGGCGTTGTGAAGAAGCACGGGTGCACCTGTACAGCTGCATGTGCCACGCTGGCCCATCCCACCACACAGCCGACTTCATCCTGTTTTCCATAACTCAACCTCCTACTGCCACCTCCATGTGAGGAACCCAAGCCATGGATTTCCCCATGGGGTCAGAGGGGGAAATGCCAATGTAATGAGGAAATCAATTTCTAGGAGTTGATCTTAAAATCATGACTCTTTGAAAAAAAAAAAAAAAAAACCACAAAGATCTCATGTACCCTATGTGCCTTCAACTTACTCTGTGTCTAAAGGTGACCTTGAACTTCTGGCCTTCCTGCTTCCATTTCCCAAGTGCAAGGATTGAAGACATGCAACACCATGCCTAGTTTATGCAATCTGTGAGGGGAAATCCATGGCTTCAAGTATGCCACCAATAAGGGCATACATATCTTAAGGGACAGACCTACAGCTCAGGGACAGAATACTCAACCAGCATACCTAATACCCTGGTCTAACATCACAACAAACAAACGCATAAACATACTCTCTAGCTGTGCTTGATGGCACTTGTATGCCGACAATGTATCAAGACACTGCCACTGAATAAAATTTACACAAAGCTGGGTAAGAGGCAACTGGGGGGCGGTTGGCTACGTAGCTCAGCCTAGTATGTGTGAAGCCTTGGGTCAATTTCCCATACTGCCCAGAGTGAATAAACAAATGAACAACCAGAAGGTTAAAAAAAACATATACATATAAAATAATAAATGGGGGTGGGGAGAGGCTGGGGAGGAAGCTCAGTAGAGCATGGCGCCTGCTGCCAAGCCTGGCATCCTGAGTTTGATCTCCAGGGCTGGATCATATGTTAGAAGAAAATAAGCTGCAACTTGTCCTGTGACTACATGTGTCCAACCCCCAAATAAATTACATAATAAGCCAGGCAGTGGTGGCGCACGCCTTTAATCCCAGCACTTGGGAGGCAGAGGCAGGCGGATTTCTGAGTTCGAGGCTAGCCTGGTCTACAGAGTGAGTTCCAGGACAGCCAGGGCTACACAGAGAAACCCTGTCTGGAAAAACCAAAAATTACATAACAAATAATTAGCCTAAACTCGAAATATCTGAAGTTTAAAACCCTAAACAAAATCATCCAAAATGTAATTCTGGAAACACAGTCAGCTGGGCACAGAGGTGAGTGCAGTGCTAGCCATGACCTGGGCCTAAACAAACCTGACCTCAGTATAGTCAGACATGGCTGGGGTGTTATTTATAATAAAGTTGCAGATAATAGACAGAGATGATCACTGATCCAAAGCATCTGGAAATGGAGTCTTAGTCTCTAAGTAGGCAAAAATGAAAAGCAGAAAATGACAGTCACCGGGATTAGAAAAGGGTTATCTCAAAAGCAAGCCAGCCTTCACACTCCCTGTCAGACAAGGCTGGATGCCACACTGGCTGTGAGGAAGAGGGAGGGAGACGCCCGTCCACACCTGCAGTGTGATCTTGTTCTTCACTAGCAGTCCGATTTTGATATCCATGAGATTCAGGTCATTCTCCAGCTGCTGGTTGGAACGGATGAGGGTGATGACCTCCTCCCGCATCTTCATGAGATCAAGTTCCTCCTGAAAGTCCTGATCGCTTTGGTCCAGGAGGTGGACAAACTTTCGGACCACAATCATAGGCGGATCCTCAGCATTGACTAACAGAGAAAATATGGATCAGACAAAGACCCGAGTAACCAGAAAACCTTCCAGACAAAGACCCGAGTAACCAGAAAACCTTCCAGGTCTGAGGAGAGGTCAGTACTGTCTTAAAGCTCTAGTACACGATACACAAGATATTAATTCTCAGGTTTGAACGTGCTCAGACAACCGCCAAGTGCAGTTCCTTAGTCCTGTTATTGCTGGGTTACCACAGGGGCTACATCGGCAAGCGGGGAGACATCTGCCCAGATGTTAGCAGAGGGGCTGAATCACAGAGGCGCCCTTCCCCCAGGCCTTGCCTTCAGAACCACCAAAGAGCTCCGTGGAGAGTGCCCAGGACCTGAGGGCTCCCAAGCACTGCCTCAGCTCCTCACTGCTGAGCCACGGTTACTCACTGAGAGTCTTGTAGTCGTCACGAGCTTTGTTCGCCCGAATGAACGCCTGGATTTTGATAATGTCGTTTATCTGAGGGGCAAAGGAGACACTTTTACTCATTTGTCTATCGAACACACCCAGAAGAAGCCACCTGAGCAGCTGCTGCACCAAGGCTCCTTACATGGTCTCGGAAGTACTGCAGGCGATCTCTATAGCGCTTTCTAGCTTGATGCATCCTGGCAAGGGACTGAATCTGTGGAAGAGGGATTCTGGAACTCAGAGGGGGGTCTCTTCAACACACCATGCTTGCACCCCACATGGACGAACCCTGCTGGGCTACCATACCTTCACAACTTCATCTTTATGGGAGTGCAGGTAAGCCAGCCGGTCTTGATATGCCTTCTTCTGTTTGTATCCTCTCCACTGTGACTAAAGGGACCGCAGAGTACACATGGCATTATTTTCAAAGAATCAGTGGAAGTTAAAACAAAGAAATAAACAAAACCCTCAGCTTGCTATTATCCAAGTACAATTTCCTGACAACGCTGTAGGAAGAAGGCCCTTCCTCTACCAGGCACAGACCATGCCTCCCGCAGATCACAATGGCCGTTCTCTGACATCGATACAACACAGTACACACAGTTTTGTTTGGGGGCTTTGGTGCTGGGGACCTAATGTCTGGCCTTGTGCACACTCTCATGTGCTCTGCACTGAGCTGGACTCCTAGCCCACACTTGTCACATCTTGAAGTGAGTCACATGACTCACTTATCTGTCATCATTACTGTTGCCAGGTGGGGGAGATATACAGTAGTGTATCCATTTCACAGATAAGGAAACTTAAGAGACCCACGGTGTCTAGCAGCAATGGAGCCAAAAATGTTTCTATTACTGTTACTGAAGCATGATTATTTTATTTATTGTGACTGTACTATATCACCATCATATGCACTATAGAGGTGCAAGTCTTACCCACAGACATGCACTCCCTAATGCCTTCTGCTACCAAGGCACAATGATGTGATGTCACAAACAGGAGGTAACCATGCAAAGATGGGAAAAGAGGTCACAAGAAAGACACTCACACAATCAGTTTTAAGAGTGACAGTTTATTCCTCCTGTCCTAGAGGGCTGCTCCCTGTGTGAAGTACCTGAATGCAGGTGATGGCGGGGATTTGTTTCTTCAGAAAGTTCATCCGGGATCGGAATTCCTGTCGAACGAGGTACCCACGGCAGCAGGCTTGCAGCTTGGTGATCAAGCCTTCGTTGGCCAGCCAAAGCTGCTCTCGGTTATATGCAGCAGTCACTCCAGAGATGGAACTCTGAAAAAGCATTTGGTCACATTCAGGGACAAGAGAACGGACACAAAGCATCATCAGAGCACACAACTGACTTCACTCTCCTTCCAGAGGTCCTGAATTCTATTCCCAGCAATCACATGGTGGTTCATAACTATCTATCCTGGAATCTGATGCCCTCTTTTGGCATGCAGATAGAGTACTCATATACATACATAAATAAATATTTGAAAGAAAAAAAACTATTGGCAGAACAGCTAACAGACTAGAGAAAGATGTGTGCCATCTGCCAACACGCAAACACACCCTTCTCTCTCTCGTGCATGCATGCACACACACACACACACAGAGTTATTTTTATTTTGTTTTTGAGATGGATCTTGGTATATGGCCTGAGCTAGCTTTTAACTCTTATTCTGCTTCAAACTCCCAAGTATAGGTTATATATATATATGTTATATGTGTAGATTATAGGATTATATATGCATATGCAGACATGTGCACAAACAAGCATGCTAGGAAAGAACTGTGAGGCGGGTAGAAGGAGGTAAATTAGAAGGCTACTACTGTGCCCCGGTAAGAAGGTCTGGGCTGGAATGAGGCAGGAGCTGGGAGAATGTTTAGGAATGTCCGCTTATCTTACTACCTAACCAATATGCCCATCCTTTCTTTCTTAGCATTAGAGATGGGTTTTGGGGCCCTAGCATGCACACCAAACTCTCAGTATGTTAAGAGCTTTGGGAAAGCTCACAAAGGAAAGCATAGAGCACACCCTGTTGCTTTTCCTTTCCTCTCGGCTTCCTGCCTGGAACCTACTCTGACAGTTAGCATTCCAAGCTGCCCTTGAGAATGTTCTAAGAATGAGGGAGCACCAGGCCCAAAGGCTCCTGGAGCTCTGATGTCCTGAGGCTACCACACCCTCTCTAAATGGCTGAAGTCCATAGTTACCTTCTGTAAGAGGGACAAAACAAAATGTCACAAGCCTCTAACCCCTTATTTCAGTTTCTTTTATTCTGTCGTGCTGTCTGAGGTATCTGGGCTTCTAGATGGAAGGTCAACTTGATGGTGTGGGAAAGGCTAGGATATGGAGGTACGGGTCTCAGGTCACAGCTCACAGGTTTCACAGGCTTGAATGAGATCATGGTGGTGTTGGACTTGGTGCCTGACAGTGTCCCCTCTAATCGTTTACGAGCCTGGTCAGGTGAGGGAGTGATAGAGGGCCAGCAGCCAAGGCAGGCAGACGCAGAGACAAGGCAGCAAGAGAGATTCTGAAAGGGCATCAGAGACTGGAGGTCTGGAGAGAACTGCATGGAGGGTTTTGCAGAGACTTCCTAAAGGCATGTGACAATTCAAAGACTGTTGCCAGATAGTAAGGAAGGCACTTTCACTAAAGACACCAGGGGAAAGCTTTCTGTTGGGCGCTAACAAGTGGATGGCAACAGAGAAAGAACTGGGGGCAGCCTAACTTTCAGGGCACTTAAGACAGGGTATGAATGCGGGTTAGGTCAAATCAGAGAAACCCTACAGGCTTTGCCTTCTTTTTTCTTTTTTAAAAGACAGGGTCTCTCTCTGTCTCCTTGGATGTTCTAGAATTCACTATGTAGACCAGCAGGCCTCGAATGCACAGAGTTCTGCCTGTTTCTGCCTCCAGAGAGCTGGAATTAAAGGTGTGTGCCATCATGGTTGGCTGGTTTCCTTTTCTTCTTTGTTTTTGAGTATGGAAGACATGATCTGAATGTGGGCCAATACTTACAAGCAGTCTTTAGAGTACTAGCAGCAACACTGCCTGGCAACTGGTTAGAAATGTGGCCTCCCAAGCTCTGCCTTAGACCCACGGGATCAACCTCCACACCCAGCACTTGAAATTCGGACAAGTATGATAACAGAAACTATGAAGAGTCAAGTCTTGCAGGAACCGGAGAGGACGGTAACAGACATTAGGCAATAACATGCCAGTGAGAGACTTCCCTCCTGAGGGCACACAATGAAGGGTGGGTGTCCCGTAAGATGACAGTGCGGAGTTGAGTATGGGAGTGCAGTACTTGCCAGCCACTGGCTTTAGAGGAGTAGGAGATTAGGCCATGTTCTAAAAGTCAGGGAGGAGCATCACTGCAGTCCTGTGTGTCAGCTCTTGTCCCACATGCAAATCAGTGTCTAGGCCTGGCTGTGCCTCAGGAGGTTAGGAAGGCTCTCCCATCTTCAGCCCAGCATCAGTCCCTCCCTCACTGCGGTCTCTCCGACTGCGGCTGCACACATTGGTCAGCAGCTTGTGTTTCTTTCCACACAAGGTCCTGGTTTTTCCACCCTCAGTGACTTTTCCACCCTCAGTGACTTTCCTCTTTCCGTCTTGAACATTCTTTCCTCTTTATTCACCTATTTAAAATGTCACTTAGTTTGCCTTCCTCCAGGACAGAATTAAACTTCCCCTAACATCTCCATGTGCTAGAGCCCCCTGTCCCTGCCTACATTCATTGCCTCTGTTCCAAGCACGATGTTTCCTCAACACTGAAAAGCCTGGAGGCAGAGCAATGGGTCACCCAAGTTTTCTTTAATAACCGTACAGTGAAACTCACTGAATTGTACAATTGACATGTTTCCAATTTCAGACTTCACCGCCTCCCAAACCACTAAAACACGTATTCCAAAATAATTCATTGCACTGTCTACATTTGAGTCCAGGACTACTGGCCACAAGTATTCTCCTCTGAACCAAGAGTAACCCTGAAGCATCTTCTCTCAGATCTTTCTTATGTGAAGGAAGGTGGCCTACCTGGATCTCCTCTCGAGAAAGCTGCACAGAATTCTGTACAAAGTCTGGGGGCTCAGCCCATCCTCCTGCTTGCGTCTCCAGATTGTGGTAGTAATAGTACCCGCCTTTCACCCAGTGCTTCACCCACTTGCTGTTATTGTCTCCTGGCAGAAAACAGAGGAGGAAAGATGGTAACCCAGAGCCACACCCCCACACTGATACAGCCAACACTCAAGGATTATTCTAGTCAGCTTTGAGAATCCAAACATTTTCTAAAACCTGTTCCTTGGATCCAACTCATCTCATGTGTCCACTGAACCTTGGCTAAGTACTGTCTAGACTGTGTCATGCGTGTCATATTATAAAAAAGAACTGCCTAGGAGGTCACATTACAAAACCAACCATACTCTTCTTACAATTCCTCTGCCTAAATCCTGCAGTTGGAAAACTGTCCAGAAAAGACAGGCCACCCACCCTTCAGCACTGCCGTTCAGGAATGAGAGAGCTACAATGCCTTCTCTGCTATGGACTTCTTTCAACTATCCACAGACTCAGATAGTAGGAGCTGCAGGAATCCTAGGAAAGGCACACAGCCAAGTATCTCGGATCCTTTCCACGCTCTCATAAAATCGGTCTAGTTCACACAGCTGTCTACAAGTGTTCAGAGTTTAGGACCATTTCTTGCAAAGTGAGCCTAGATACTGTTTATCCACACTAAATGTCTTTGTCTGTCTCCTCAATGCTCAAGTGCTGAGCTCATGGACGTATGTACCTCCCCAGGACTCACCTGATGCTAGTCTTTTCTTCTTGGCTTCAGTAAGGTCACTCTGGTATGTCTCCCCACATTCAGGGATCACTCCATATAAGCCAACGTCGGGAGAACGAAGGGCACTCAGGGTTCTGCCAACATCACCACTGTCTACTGCTTCGTTGATGGCAAAGATTCCTAAGGCAACTGTCTCGGAAGAGAATTATAATGGAGCAGTTTAGGAGGTGTCTACATTCACATGACTTCACCCAAGCATACCCAGCCACCTACCCTGCCCAGCAGACCTAAGGCACCTGTCATCCTCACCCTCCACCCACACACGAGCAAGACAACGGACACATGGATACTTACACCTCTGTGCTTCTTGGGTGTCTTTGTTGGACTGACAGATTCCACCTTGAATTTCATCCAACCATAACACAGCTGACTCATCCTGTGTTTCCTATGTATGATTGAAAGAAAAACAATAATAAAGCCATGGTGAACATCAGAGTATGTGTGATGAGGACCTTCTGGGACTCAGCTATAGAAGAAAAGGCTCCACAGATGAGCTATGGAGTATGTGAATGAAAAGAGCCAGGCATCAAAACTCCTGCCCTAAGTTAAACAGGAAACGGCTCGGATGCAAGCAATGGAAGAATGAAGAGAATCAAACTGTTCGGGAAGCTGACAGCAGTGGAGGGAGCAGAAGCAGGCACCCTGGGAAGCGATCCAAGGACTTGTACAGTATGACAAAGGCCAGAGTGTGCGTATGAATACACTCGGTCCAGAAAGCCTCCTTTGCCCTTGACATACAGAAGCAGCTCAAATTCTCCACTACAACTAATGCTTTCAAGACTGTCGTGTCTTATGTAACCAAATCTTTTTAATTCTCATATTTAAAACCTGGAGTTACTATCACTGCAGGTGTCACTGGATCATAGTCTAAACCTTTCTGTTTTTTTTTTTTAAATTGTTATTGTGTTAGTTTTTTTGTTGTTCTTTTTTGTTCATTTCTTTTTTTCCTTTTGGGTCTCTCTACATAGCCCAGGCTGTCCTGGAACTCACTCTGTAGACCAGGCTGTTCTCAAACTCAGAGAGATCCACCTGTCTCTGCCTCTGCCTCCCAAATGTTAGGATTAGAGGTGTGGGCTACCATGCCCTGCTTAAGCCTTTCATTTTAGATCACCTGCTGTAAACTAAACACGTGTTCACACACACGGGTTCTAATAAACAGTGGCGAGATAGCCAGGAAAGCTGTGCAGTCCGAGCTGATTCCTGGTGTCAGAGGTGATGGAACAGCTTGCTTCACTCTTCTATAGTTTATTTTTCCTTAAGCTAACATGTAAGGGTTTCAATATGGGACCTTGATGCATATACCATTTTATTACTCACCCCATCCTCCCTGATCCCCACTTTGCTGGTCTCTTGTCTCCCCTCAACTATTTTTTTCCCCTTGTGTGTTCATGTTACACATGCTGTGACTTCGAGAGCTGAGAAGTCAGAGGCAACAGGACAGATGGTCCTAGACTGCAAGAGAAGCTGCCCACAAGCCCTACCGACCAAAGCAGAGACACTTGCATGGGCTGGAATCCAGCCATTGCTGGTTCACTGTTAGTTAGGCTGATCTCACACGGATTCCAAGCAGCAGAGCTGGGAGGCTGAACACAGCCTTCCCCTGCAAGGAGTGAGCTGGCAAGAGTTCTGACTGTTCACAGTCCTGTCCCCTACTGCTCCATGCAGGCTAAAACAAAGAGCTGCGGTTAACCTTTCTTTCGTGTTTAATCCTCACACAAAAGAAGCAAACAATGAAGCTAAGGTTTGAAAGGCAAGAGAATGAATCGAAACTGGTTTGGGATTGCTAGCACTGGTTCCTGGTGGCTTACAGGCAAGCACGTCTGTGTAGACAGGAAGAGAGTTTTAAAAGTCACTCATGTACATAATATTAAAATGATCCTCATCTTGGGCATTCAGACGCCCAGGGACTGGTGATTCAGTCTTAGTAAGTGCTCCAAAGGCACCAACTTCAAGCGAGGAAAGAAACGGCACCAATGAATGGCAGACTAGGGACCTCTAAGAAACTTCTCACTATAAACACAATAAAATGCTGCCTAAAAATGGCAATAGTTGGCTTTTCTAAACTTAGGAGATGAAGGAAGGCTTGCAACAGTTAGAGCTGGCACAAAGGCATGTCCCACTGAGTGAGAATGTGAGCTCTGGGCTACTGCATCTTTCCACAGTCTATTCGGTGTTCCCTGGGAGGTCAGCAGTGCTTCCCCTCATCCCTTATCTGCACTGGATGTGACCGGGGCCTTACTCCAGCTGTTGAGCATCACTAGGGCTTGGGTTGATAAACAACAGTCTTAACAACAACAACACTAACCAAAAAACTTAGAGGGAAAATCTGGAGAAGAGGTATTTAAAGAAAGCTGTGAAATTGTGACCCATTCCTGGATGGGAAGCGAGAAGGCCACACCTGGTACATGTGGGGATGCAGAGACTCTTCCAAAAGTGATTGTGAATATAGTAGAAGCAATGACACATATTTTATAATGATGAATTATATGGCCTGCAAATTATACTCCAATAAAATCTAAAGTTCTAAGCTTGAGGGTCTGACCAAGCTTGGAGGGAAAGCCATACAGCTCTAAACTGCCTACTGAGCTGAAAGCACAAAGGGCCCTCAAAGGGCACAAAGGGCCCTCAGCAGGGCAGGGAGGCTTTACAGGATCTATGGATTCAAGGACACCTGTCCAATTGTTAGTGAATCACAAGCTGATTAGGGAGATTTTCCTGTATGTTCATGACAAAGACAGCTCACACAATTCAGAAAAGCCTCTGAATAGCTGCAAGCACCTGCAATCTCAGGAAACTGAAGGGAGCCTCCATCTCAACAAAAACCCTAAAACACTAAACAAGTGATGTAATGAGAGTAAGAATCTGATTTCTGGAGTTAACACATTATCAGCAGAATTTCTGCCAAATAAAACACATAGCAACAACAAAAATAAAGTGTGCAGGGACTGGACAGACACATACAAACCCACCAGACAACAGAGGCTACCACTGAAGAGCCTCCAGCTGAACTTGTGGGCAAAGATCAGCTATTTTATATACGTTAAAGAACTAAGTGGGGACCCTGTCGGATACCTAGCATCATCAACAAAGAGAAACCACATTCTTAAACACGAAACAGTACAATAACTGAAATAGATTTGATTGTGTAGAAGGCGGGAAGTCAACTTGAAGACAGGTCAGTTCTGATGCTCTAGTCAGAAAATTAACAAGAAAAAGGAGTGAAGGAGAGCGAGAGAGAGAAATGAGCACTCCAGCAGGATGACGTCTAATCAGCCCGGCTCCTTCAAAGGGACGGACACTTGCCAGCAACAGAGGATACACAACAGAATAAGGGCTCAGGAGATGGCTTCTCTGGTAAACTTCTCTAAGTCCTATGATCACCACAGACACAAAGACACCACCAAGAAAAGTGCATACTGAATATTTTGTGTCAATTTTTGACTGTTTTTAATTTCTGAGACAGAGTCTCATGGAGCCCAAGCTAGCCTTGAACTGTGTAGCTAAGAGCGACCATGTTTTCCTGACCATGTGCCACCACACCCAGCTACAGACTAAATTTAAATTACAATTTTGTGCTTGCTAAATTTAGAATTCGATAACTATTTTTAACACTATTCCCTAGATGGTTTATAGGACTTGGAAGCTAAGAAATGCCTATAAAAAGACAATTCTACCCGAAGTGCAGTGTTCGCACCATGATGTTCCGCAAGGCTCCCTGCAGCTACCCTAGCCCTTTCTCTTTTCCACAGCAAATTAAATGCTTCAAAGGCCACTCACAGGCTACAATTTGGACAAAGTTAGATGAAGCCAATCACAAAGGTCAATATATCGCATGATTCTATCTATATGAAGTGTTCTGAATTCAAAATCCACAGAACAGGAGACTGAGCCATAAGGGACCCCAGGTTTCTTCTGTGTAATACCCTAACAGTGGCTGTGAGAGTTTCACAATTTTATCATTATACTGGAAGATAAATTATACCACAGACATGCATGTTTAAATTGCGAGTTACATGGTATGTGAATTATATCTTTGTTTTGTTTTTCATGTACACTGTAGCTGTCTTCAGACACGCCAGAAGAGGTTATCGGATCCTATTACAGATGGTTGTGAGCCATGATGTGGTTGCTAGGGACTGAACTCAGGACCACTGGAAGAGCAATGTTCTTAACCACTGAGCCCTGTGAATTATATCTTAATAAAAGTACTGTAAAGCAAGAGTTATGGTGTTCCCCCCTTAAGTTTAGCTTCTGTGTTCTTCCTCTGACCCACTAGTGGCTGTCCTAAATCTATAGATAATTGGTGTTTCGGTTTTGTTTGAGGTGTTGGGGAGCAGCCGCATGGCCTCATGTGGGGCGAGCTCTCCACCACTGAGCAGCACCACTCACATGCATCTCTCTACAGAAGACACGGATTAGGCTTCTCACAGAAGCACCAACCGAGAAATCCAAGGTAGGAATCTCGAACTCCCAGTAACAGAAAACGTGCGACAGCAGGACTGTGCACTGCAATGGGCTGTGCATGAGTGTCACTAGCATGTTAGACAAGAGGCCTGCCACAGGGACGCACCCGACGTCTGTGCTTCAATACGGGACTCAGGTCAACTGTGGTGTCTGAAACTGGAGGAGTGAGCCCAAATGGGGAGTGGGTGGGTATGGACAGGAAGGAACACGAGTGAGAGTTCTGGGATGCCGATAACTCTCGCTAGACAATGTAAACATCAATCACACAGGTACATTTGCTTCTTAAAGTTTATACAACTAAATACTTCATCTGACTTGCTCAGGATCTTAGGTTTCAATTAACCTGAACGACGTCAGCAAGAATGGGGGATGGAGAGGTAGCGGTGGGAGGGAAAGCCAATCAAACTAAGTAAAAAAAATGCCATGAAGAAACCTGCAACTTTGGAAGCTAATTAAGAACATTAAATTTAATTTAAAATGGAAGGTTGCTACAGAGACATCTACAGGAGAGGAATGTGTAAAATACCCCGAGTTCCCAGGAGGTGGAGCATTTGTCTCTCTAGTGGCCAAAGATGAAACAAGGGAAACACAGTGGCACAGCATTCTTCCCAGAGGCTGACTGCTGAGTTGGAACAACAGGGGGTGCGGATGGGTGTGTGGGGAGGGGGGTGGGGGGGTGTGCTCACCTGGGCCTTTTCTCTCTTTGCTCTGATCAGTGTGTCTTGGTAATGCTGTGCCACTTCTGGAAGGACCCCCTCGAGCTTAGCTGCAGGGATCTGCAAGGCCTGCAGGGTCTTCTGGGCATCCCCTTCGTCCAGGGCTTCATTAATGAGACCAATGGCCAAAATCCCTAAGGACACAGAGACAAGAGGCTAGGCTGTAGTTAAAGAAGTTAGAAAAAAATCAATCCAAGGGTCTCAGCTACTTGGGAGGTTGGCAGAAGAGAATCCTGTGAGCCCACAAGTTCAAGATCAGCAAAAACTGTGCTAACCCCGTGAACTCAGCTGAGAGCAATCATGATTCAAACTAAACAACACTGCATTTCAAGAAACAATTTTTGTTTCCTCTAAACTCCCTCACCCTATCCATTCCTGCAGGAATCCGGGTTCTTCTGTTTCGTTTTTAAAGCTTTAAAGTGATGCGGATGTTTTAGTTTCAGTCACACTGTGAAGCTCAAGTAGGCTCTTGCCCAGCCCAGGCCTCCTGTGTGCTGAGGTGCAAGCCCGGGCCGGCACAGGCTGAGGACCACAGGCTGAGGACAGACTGGCTTCACAGCTCTCAGGGACCGTCAGATGTGCAATCAAAACTGTTCATCAATTTTACTGAATGAAATAGGAGCCGTGGGGACCTCCTCCCTAGGATTACACAACACATGACGGGCAGATTGAAGATCTAAGCACAGGACTTTCCAGCCCACTCGGATCTCTTCCCACAAATCAGTTGAGTGTTTCTCACAGGAAGTTCAAATTAAAATTGGAAACGCCCACTCAGGCAGCTAGGCTACTCTGGGGAGGACTCTGCTGTGTGCTGCAGTATTTGGCTGGTCTCTGCCCTGGTTTCGGAGGGGAAGCCTGGAATATCCTGAAGAGCATCTGTTATTTATGGTACCTCCCACCACATCTGAAGGTGTGCCAGTGGAGGCATCATCCTATGGTGGGCCTCAGGACTGTTTCAGTAGGACTGACCACACAGGATCTAAGAAGTCATATAGCTTCATGACTACCAGATCCATGGTCAGTAACTCAGCCAGTCACGTGTAGGTAACAGAGACAAGTCTGGTTAACCAAAGCTCAGGTGAGTCCCCAGTCAGTGACTATCAGTCAGGAAGGTGACACATGCCGAGGCCACAGTAGCTTTGCATTCAGAACCCTCCCAGACACAGCCCCTGGATCTTGTCTTTTGCCTCCAGATTTATCCCCTTTATATCCACACTGTAACCCTAAGGCTCACATGACTGAGTTCTTTGAGCCTTTTTAGCAAACCATTAAACCTGAGGAAGGAGAGGGAACCCTCATGCAGCTAGTTCAGAAGTGAGGCCTAGTTTGCACTGGCAGCTGATGTCTGAACACAAGTGGACTTGTGGAAAACTATGCCCTCAACCTATACCAGGTGACACAATTCAGGCAGGTTGTGTTATATATATGTTAGCACTACTTGCTATACACTATATAGTTACATGCTATATAGTTATAACTATCTCTTATAGCTATAACAGACCATGCTCAATTCACCTCCCCCAAATTTTATCTATTTGAATTTTTTTTGTTCTGTGCAGCTCTGTGTCCTGGAACTCACTCTATAGACCAGGCTGGCCTTGCATTGAGCGATCCACCTAGACTGCCTCCTGAGTGCTCGGATTAAAGGTATTCACCACCACTGCTGGTCCAAAATTTATTAATTGGACACATAGCCAATAATAAGTGTATTGAAAACAATACCCAACCTTAGCTAGTTGAATGTTATATTATACAAACATACGTGTGAAATACACAAACGTTTGTATTTTGATATTTCACTCAAAAGCCCTTGTAGGAGTAGTATTTAGAACCAGCTTGTGTGGTGTATGTGTTTGTGTGAGCACCGTGTCTCTGCCTGCTGCAGGTGTATGTGCACATGTGTGACATGCACTCAGGTCAGAAGTTGATGTCAGGTTTTCCCCCTAGTCACTAGGCTGGCTGGTTGATGAGCTCCCAGGGAGTGTCTTGTCTCTGCCTCCCTTCTCCCCAGTGCTGGGGTTCCAGATGTTTGCTGCCACACACAATTTTTACCTAGGTGGTGGGGACCTGCACCAGGTCTTCATGCCTGTGGGGCAGGCATTTTATTGACCGAGCCATCTTCCCAGCCCCACGTCACCCATCGTTAAAAGTAATGTTCTCTGAGGGGACCTGGCAGTTACTCACGCTCATGTTCCTCATGGACCACGAGGTTCACGTGGTCCACACACGCCTGGATGTCATTCCATGTGATAAACTCATTATTCTCCGCATGTGCCTGAGCTTTCAGCTTCACCAACTCATCGAGATACCTGTCCCAGCCCCCCCAAAAAAAGGATGAAAAAAGAAAAAAACCTTCAGAATGATTATTCAATGATTATAAATGTTCTACAATATGGGAAGTGTTGGTGTAAGTTCTGGGACTGCAGAGCGACCTTAAACGTAAACACACAAGGAAACCACTTAGTCTCTATGTTCTAAGAGACCAACTCTAAAACCAGGGGACTCATCCAAAGACAGACAGACAGACAAGAGGGCCAAACTGGAGAGAAACACAGTGGTAGAGGAACTCTTCAGTATGTCTGAGGCCGGGATTCCAACCCCAGCACCAACAAAACCAAAATGTCATGGTGTCTGTAATGTACTGACATTATGAAGTCACAGTGTGAAGACATAAAGCCTAGAATGAAAATTGGTGTATGCACTAGAAGACAGCGGTAACCGCCATGCAGCGGACCTGAGCACACACTCTGGGCCCACCTTTGACAGTTCTCTTCCTCAATGTTGGTGAGGCCTGTGACTGAGCTGCTCAGCTGTCTCCACACCGTGTTCATGTCTCCTGACTCCAGCGCCCTGTTGATGAGGGCCACAGATGACAGCATCTCCACAGCAACGGTGAGCTCAGGATGGGTGAGGCTATGCTGTGCAGGACAGGAGAGAAAGTGAGGAAGGACACTCCCCAACGCCAAGGGAATCAGGAGCTCCACATGAAAGCTGGGTTTCTGGAAAAGGCTTCTGCCCAAGCCCACGGAGAGGTGGGTATTCACTTCCACTCCATTCTGCTCCCAAACAATATGGGCTCAGTTAACTTACCTCAGGACTCTGCTGCTGCAGGGTGGCCAACTCCTTCTGATAAAGATCGGCTGCAAATGGATACACCTGGGGCAGCTGGGCTTCGGGATTCATTAGCTCCAAAACGGTCTTCTCGGCGATGCCCTTCTGGATCGCAGCATTGATTGCTGCCACTGCTGCCAACCCTGAAGGAAAACAGGTCAGCATGCAGTGGGCTGAGAGCCCTGAGCAGAAACAGTGCCTTGTTTTGTTCTTGAGACAGGGTCTCACTATGTAGCTTTGGTTGCCCTGATCAGGCTGGCCGTGAACTCAGAGATCTACCTGCTTCTATCCCCCTAGTGCTGGGATAAAATGCGTGTACCACCATGCCCGGCTGCTTTTTTAAAAAGATTTATTTTTAAGTGTATGACACTTTGACTGCATGTGTGTGTGTGTACTGTGTGTGTGCTTGGTGTCCATGGAGACCAGAAGTGGGTGTCAGATCCCCTACAACTAGAGTTACAGAAGACTATAAGCCTGCAAACTGCCAAGGGAGTGCTGGGAACAGAACCTGTCCTCTACAGAGTAACAAGTGCTTTCAACTCCTGGACCAGAAACACCATACACCACCCCCTCACAACCTGCTTTAAAAGTATTGTGGAATATATATGCATGTTCACACACATGTAGATGCGTGTGGCAGGACATGTGTGGAGGCCTTTGATATTGGGTGTCTTGATCACTCTCCGCCCTATACTGAGGCAGGTCTCTTGCTGAACCAGAGTCCGTTGTTTCGGGCTACTCTGGCTATCCACCTTGCCTACTATGCACGGAGATTACAAGGCAGCTCTCATGCCCACTGGGCTTTTACACAGATCCTGGGAATTAGAATCCTGGTCCTCAAGTTTGATCAGGAAACATTTGGCCTGCTGAACATCTCTCTAAACGTACACTCCCATTTACCACCCCACCCCCCAAAAACCACTATGTAGCCCTAGTCTGCCTTTATTCACAAAAATTCTCCTACCTCAGGAGTTGCTGGAATTATAGGTATGGGCCACCAAGTCTGGCTAGGAGGTACCAATTTTTATAGAATAAAGTTCCATTCTGTACCTCTGGTATCTGTCACGATGCTTGATGTGGAACTCATCTCTAAAAACCCACTACCTTATTGAAGGTGGCAGTGGCAGTCTGAGGTGGGGGAGGGGCATGGTAGCAGCAGGAGGGGCATGGACTCTAGAAGGAGCAGAACAGGGTCTTGCTGGGCAGAGATAGAGCCAGGCCCAAAGCTAAGCCTGCACAGAATGCAGACAGCCAGAGACTGGCTTTACTGCTGCAGAGGTCAGAGGTCAGAGGTCATGGACACAGGCCTCTGAAGTTGCACCTGAGCCTGTGGCTGAGCTGAAGATCTAGAGAGCCAAGCACCCACATTTCCCACCGCCTACCATAAGGATTCTTGTTTGCCCAACTCTGAGCTTAGGGACCGGATACTATGAGCCAGGATCCTCTGTAACTTTGATATGCACAGCCCACCCGCAGCACAGGAGGCTGTACAGAGCAGCAGGCTGTCATACCAGGTACCCTGTGCTACCACCCAGGATCTGCTCTCAGGCCAGTGACTGATTTACCTGGCACCTAATTTCAAGCTGGACAAAGCTGGGCTAGCTCTGTCTGGTCTGTGGTTGAAAGGCAGCTTTAGGAGCCCAAGGTGACCCCAGGGAGAGTAGGCACTGGGTCATACGTATTTAAACAGATGTCTTCATACAGTGCTTGGGTTTCCTGTAGGCTGATTCTGCTATCTAGGCTACAGGCATTAAGGACCTGCTTACCTATAAGCCAATGGTCAACCCTACCTGTCTGTCTCCTGAGCTGATAAGCTGGCACCTCTGACACACTTTATATGAGAGCTTCTTCAGTTTGCAACCAGTCCCTATGTCTTGCAAGTGCTAGTCTACGCCAACAATACAGCACTCACATAGCACGGCCAAGTTGAGGAAAACATCTGCCCCACTGCTGGAGGCAGTTCCTCCTGTCTTCCTCTTCCTCATTCCGAGAAGCCAAACACCCCCAGGTTTTGAAAGTTACTTTATTTCAGGGCTGTCTGCACCTTTGGTTCCCTAGAGCTTTTGCCCTCAGTGCAGGGCTGACTCCAGTACCCACAGGCTAGGCCCCTCAGCTTCCCTGAACTGGCCAGGATCTCCAGCCGAGCATGCTCAAGGGAAGGGCCGCACTTGTGCAGTGGACTGCACCCTTTGTTTTCCTGCATTCCTCCTCTGTCACAAGAGATAAACCTGGTGCTTCTCTAGTGCCTGACCTGAGAACAGTACAGCCCAGGAGCAGGAGTGTTGCAGGACTGAGCATGCTGGGGGGAGCAGGACCATGTCACCAATCAGTCACAGCTTACACCTCTGCACCCCCCTTCTCTGGCTACCTTGACATGTGCCCTTCAATAAAACCCAGCTTGGGTCTAGAAAAGACTATTGGTCATGTATGCTACCACTACACCAGCTAAACAGTCCTTCCTTTCTCAGGAGCCTTCTAGTAAGGCCGCCCTTCAAAGCTTCCCAACTGCATCTCAACTCAGCCAAAACAGGTACCAGGATTCCCAGTAGCACCTGCTCTGAACTCAGCTTCCCCTGTGGCACTGTCTGCCTCCTACAATCAGGAGCGCTCTCTCCTTTTCCATAGCCTAAAACTTACCGCCCTTTAAGTGCTGCCTCTTCTCCAGACACTTCCCTAATTACCCAGAAGGGTTTATTAGCCATAGTTGAATGTGCCCGGACCCTAGTTCTGCTTTTAAAACCAGAAGAACCCTATTGCCACCACCAAAAACAGTTGGCTTTGCATCGTGACTAGAAGGATCAGGTGGCAGGTGATGTAACTTCAGACCCTTGAATGACATAAAGCCACAACTTCCCTCCCCCCTGAACATTTCTGTGGCCTGGAGCCGAGGGACTCTTACGTCGTTGGTATTGCTGGGCAGCACTGTTGGCAGCATCCACTCCAGCCTGTACCTCCTCCTTCTGCAGGGGATCAGTCTGGCCATTCTAAGGAAAGCAAAGGATATTGATGAGATGACTGTTCATGCGTAGGCCTCTAGACCTGAATGAAAGTCCTCTTAACAGCAGTCACAGGGACAAGGAAACTGGGTAAGCCCCAGGCTTAATGCTGCCACACTCAATAGAGCCAAAAGCCCTTGCCAAATCTGGGGTGGAGTAGCTATAGATATGCCTCTGTGTGTGTGTGTGTGTGTGTGTGTGTGTGTGTGTGTGTGTGTGTGT